GGCGAGATCTTCAAGGGCACTTGCACGATAGGGCAGATCAAGTTGGCGTTTGTCCCCCAGCGGGACAACAGATTAGCCCACACATTAACATCGTCCGCGATGTAGTAGATCGTGTAGTTGTAGCTCATCAGCAGCAACACCCAGCGGTCCAACTTCGCCGCCGTGTACTTTAGGATGGCGGCGTTGACTGAGGCTGGGTCGAAGATAAACTTCCAGCTGTCGTGATCGGTAAACAACGCGAATCCACCTGTCTTGTGGAGCAAGTAATCTGCCCGTTTCAAGCACTCTACGATGGAGAACGCCTCTTTCTCCACGATCACCCATCGCTGCGCCGCTCCCGAAAACGTTCCACTCAGGAACATGAGCGGCTCATGTTCTTGAGCCTCAGCTCACGATCAGCATGATCGTGAGGAATTTGGGTCACCACACCTCCCCAATGGAGGTCGCTTGCGTCAGCAAGCACACAGATCAGCCGGTCTTGCTTGGGATGAGCTAACGTCACCACACGACTGAGGGCTTGCTTGTAAGCCGTGAGACACGCTGCATGGGCAGCGCTCCAGCCCACGTCGGCCAAAGCAACTTTGGCCACTTTCTGGCGGGTCCGTCCGCAAGCTGCCTTGTAGACCGACTCAATGAGGTCGGTCATCGGCTGCACGAATACGTTGTATCGTGGTATTGACATTCGCATCCAGTTCATGGCGCAAATAAATATTGCTGAGAACTTGCCTGGTCACTGGCATCTTCAGATCTTGCAACTCCTTGATGCGTTCGGGGTCTTGCTTGACGCCGTCGGAAGAGAGAATGCGCCAGCACCAGCGGGATTCGGTTTCATAGAACCGACATTTCTTTGGGTTCAGCTTGAGGCCGCGCTGATGGCATTTCTCTAGCACACGTTCGGGCGCCGCTAGAAGCCCTTCTGTGGTCTACTCGTATCAAAGAAGAACGTCCAACCAGATCAACAGCGACTTGTAGAGTTCAGTCGCGATCATTTCTTGGACCGACGACTGGCAGTAGGCAACACTGTCGGTCCCGCCCATCAACACACGCGTCGGCGTGTATACAGTACGCCCGTGTCCGTGAATAGAAGAACATCTACTACGACGTCTTGTCCAGCGCGAATTGCCAGTACTCCTTGAAGAAATTTAGGGAGAAAAAGACCTCCGCACCGGCCAGGTGATCCACGATCACCTCGAGCATCGGCATAGGCCAGATGATACGCTCCGTCGGAGCGTTGACTGGCCTCACGTCCACCGTCATGTGAAAGTCGTTCGCGTCGGGTTTCTTGACTATGAGAGGTGCCGAGCACCATTTCGCACGGGGATTTCGGTAGCATAATCCTGCAGACACCAGCTCGGCGACATGAGTCGTATGAAGACGCGCCTTGCATCGGACGGGTTCAGCGCCGTGCTTCAACGTCTCGGTGAGTGGTGCACGTCGACAGGAGCATCTCGACCAAGTGTAAGTCAAAACACGTCCTCATAGCGGACCAACAGCCTCGACAGCTGTGTCGCGAAGACTTCAGCGCATCCTGCGCCTTCGCAGTCGCGCACCTTCTCGTCGAGCAAGGCTCGGACCGCCATTCGGTCGACTTCCATCAACCACCCAGACTGCAAATCTGGGAAACACGCTCGCTCCTCATCAGGGTAAAGGCTTCTTGGCTTCTTCGGACGCCTAAATCCCGAAACCCCGACACAAACGTCTCAACCACCTTCATTGCCGCCATCAGCGGCGTTTCTTCACCACGCAGCAGGTCAAGATCATAGACACTCTGCGCACGCCGCGCAGATGCTAGCAACGAATTGGGGCAATACCCCAGGCGTGCCATTTCGTCGCGACTAACAATGAGGTCGCCCAGGCCAACTTGCAGTGGCGCCGCTGCCACCCAGCACTTGAGATTGGTCAGCATGAGGGTGCCTACTGCCGTGTCAAACGTCAAGCGTAGCTTGACCTCATGATCCACCTTGAGCTTCATGTCTTCCATGAATCCGCCCAGCTCAATGACGCTGTCGAGTTGCCGCATGTTGCGAATTTGCCATTCGCAGAACCCCTTGGCTCCCCCCAAGTGGCAGCCCAAGGGTTCACTTCCCTTGGGTAGTATGCCGGACAATTCGATTGACTAATTGGAAGAGTGGCTGGGATCAGCTGACTGATTAAGGTAGGCTTGCCGCTGGGGGGAATCCACTTCGTGATTTGCCTTTGGATACGGACTTCGCGAGGTCCGTCAGGTGGAGACGCAACAAAGAATTCTTTAGTAGCAGCCTGCTACTTGTTGTTCAAGAATGGAACAAGAAGGTCTACCGTTCACGAGCTCGCTGGCTCGTGTGACACGTACACGGTCGATGGAGACCGTGGTTGCCGTGCCTTTACCTCCGCCGAACCAGGCGGAGATGGACGAGCTACGGATGCAGAGCGTGGAGCGCGCTGCTGCGACCTCAAGTCATTTCAACCAGATGACTTACGAACAGCTGGCGCAGTTCCATGCGCAGCATAGTGCCATGGCGCAACGTCTGGAAGAAGAAACGGCCAGACAGCTGGCCATGGCAGCGGCGATGGAGAAGAATTGCCAGGAACAAGAAGAGTCGCGAGCGGTTCTATCGCGAAGAAACAGGAGTTGGTGCGCCAGCAAGAGGAGCGATAGCTGAGCAAGCCAGAATCTCAGAAGCGCACCAAGATATGCTCCGACAAGCATCGGATGTGATACGCAGCAACACTACAAGGTAGAAGAGCTGAATCAAAAAGTTCGCCGCGACAGCGAACGATGGGGTTTATTTGCCGAAGCGACGAATCAGCGTTCGGCATTTTCGATTGACCGAGCCGCCGAAGCGCCTCGGCTGGAGAACTTGATGGGCGTACAGCAAGTGCCGTTGGCGCCCACGTACAAGGGAA